AAAACACGGCCAACACGACTGGGCGTCGCCAGAAATCTAACTTTGAAGGCTGATTTCGAGGTGAAAAAAATTCGAAATCGAAAAATTTTTTTTGGAATATTTATTCATATCATCTAGAGATGCCAAAACCGTAAAAAAATTCTAGACCTGATATACACTTTAAGTGCCGTGACTCTAAGATCATCATCATCATAATAATAATATATATATATATATATAATGCTGGTAGAATGTTAAAGATGTTGACCTAGCTAGCTAGTCATATGAAGTATATAGTCATGTGAATAGGTTAGAAGTATCTTGTACAGTATTGTAGTGTAGTAATTTAAGATCCTGTGAAGTTGAACCGGCCCTAGGTTCTATCAGTACTTCCCAATACTTACGTATTTGCCTGAGCTAGCAATATAATATTCGAGAGTAGCAAGTCCAAACCGAAGATAGGCGAGCTTGGAAATAATTATTAGATACGGTACGCCTATATAGCAATCAGTGCTTGCATAATGCTTTCACCGAGTGGTTTAGTCTGTTCAACCGTCACAAATGGTGCGTCACACCGTGACCATTTGTTTTGGTGACGTCATATTTGTTGAGGCCATGGCAACGAAGAATTTCGCATGACGTTGAAAATGACATTTATTGAATGACGTTTTAAAAACAAAACAAAATGCTAGTCTGCTATAGCTTACACAAATTTCCTTACATCACTAGTATAAGCTCCTTCCGGCACAGGTAGACCAATCTCAGTTTTCGTCTGTATTTATATTGCGAAAATTCGATATTAATGAATCATTTAGATCTTTATTTGTAATAAAATCGTACGCTATAGATGTGCATGGAACTTTTTTGTCTATCTTAGTCGTTGGTTTTTATTACCTCGTATCCCCCTTCTTCTAAATAATTGGAGCGTTTCCAAACCGGGATTGTACGGTGGCCGAGCTCGAGAGCGGCAATAAAAAAGTCAAAGTCAAAAAAGTCAAAAGTTCAAAAGTCAAAGTGATTTAGGACCATATTACAAAGTGAGTTTGTCTTTTTGATCAATTTCCTCTCGTTATTTTGTCACAAGACATTTTGACATTTCGTCTCAAGCGACTTTGTTCTCCAGCGTTTTGTCATAAAAAAATTTCGCTTTTGACATTTTATCGTCCTGCATTTTGTTTCTTTTTAGTTGCTTCTGTGCTTGCGCATTGCTTTTACGCTCCTCGAAGCTCCTCGAACCTTTCGTTCTTGTAAAAATCACCATTGTTGATTAAGCATGCGCAGAAGAGTAGTAGCAGTCCCACACGTTCCACTGGTAGTCCAATTTCCTTGTATAATAACACTAAAGGAGCAAACATGCTAAGTCTACCGCTGGTGATGACTTGCCATTTGTGATCAGCCGATTGCTTCTTCCTTCGTCTGAGGGATTGTATGGTAATCTGAGGCCAGACTTTCTCTTTTAGCTTTTTTTCTTTTTATCTCTTTCCTAGGTGGTCAGTATATTTTGATTTTTTTTTTTTTTTTTGTATTTTTTTATTCCAACTAAAAGGAATTCTTTCTTTGATTTAAATATTTTTTTCCATAAAATCAAATTTTTAAAATTTTCTTTTTCAAAGTGTCATCAATTTTCATTGAGCTTTTATTAATTTATTGGTATTTTATTTTGGACGCAGGGGAGGGGAGGATAAAGTCCTAATGTCACTAGGGCAATCTCTTTGATCCACTCACATGGTTTTTTGTCAAAGCGCGGGCTTTGCAAACAAACCGACGCCATGTTTTAGAGCAAACTGCTCATAATGATTGGATATTTAGGAATATCAATGGATTGAACAAAGCCAGCTGAGATTATTATAGGACACTGAACAGTTCTTCTCTTCTAATTCGTCACAATTTATCCTATACTTCTCATTCTATACTACAAAAAATTATAACGTTTTCCTGAAACATAAACATAAGCTTATCTGGCAAAACTACGATCAGAAATGAAATCCTCAACAAGATCAAGTCACTGGTATTTTAAAAAAATCTACGAACAAAAGCCTTATTCACCATCAATTTATAACTCCGGCAAGGAAGCTTAAAATAAAATCTATGGCTCAACCATCGAAATATCAAGCTCAAAAAGAAGTTAGACGATGGAATGTGAAGGCAAAGGTGAGTGAAGTCTTAGAATTTGTGGGTTGTTTGGTTTTCTCTGTTTCTTTGAAGTTTTTTTTATTTATAAACGAAAGGTTTCTTTTATCAACAAGTGGGTTAGGTAGGGGGTTATTAAGAAAGCGTTAATAATTTATTGTTATAAAGTTTTCTTGCATTGATTTACAAAGTAAGGTTCTCACAACACATGATTAGGGCTTTCTCGATTTTAGCTGTTATTTACGTCTATTTTAACTATATTTTTTAAATAACTCTGTTATCCCATCAGGAGATTCAAGAATCGCTTAATTTTATACCAAAGAAAAGAAATATATGATATTATTATTCGCGCCCACCTAAATAAAGCTATACTCTGAGTATATCCACGGCTATCAATGTTTCTTTCATTTATATCTTTCATTTATATTGCTTTATAAAGCTATACTCTGAGTATATCCACGGCTATCAATGTTTCTTTCATTTATATCTTTCATTTATATTGCACGGCTAATTATTTTAAAATCCTTAATAAAAATTTTCACTCTAAATTATTAAGGAGATAATTTCTGTTATAATCTTGATCAGAAGTATGAAAAAAGATTGGATTCTATCAAATTTTTTTGACCATGAAGGAGAAATTTTTTCTAATTATCTTTTTCATAAGTCTTTTTAGACGTTCTTTAAATTGTACTGTAGTATTTGAATATTTTTACTGTCATAAAACTCTGCAATTGATGGAGTTATGACAGCAAAAAAGTAAACATCCTATAGTAACAGATACCTTATTTGAAAATTAATTTAAGTGAAATACAGTATTAATCTTACCTGCAAAAAATTTATAATTATTGGAATGATTGACCGAACCTGCAACAATAATTACTTTCCATGAAAGAATAGCCAAAATGATTTTTAAAGTTAATGTTTACTTTATTTTATCATGTCATTGTTGGTTAAAGAAATCCACATCTGTGATTTTCTCTTGGGAGTTTTGATCTCATTTTTCTAATTTTTCAATTGTCTTTTATATCCCATTTTTTTGGTTGACAACAGTGTATTCCTACAAATCCTTATTTTCTTGAAAATATTTTCTTTTTGAAAAAAATATTCTTAATGAGCAATATATGTCAAGCTGGAGATCAACGTGCGATAGAAATAAAATAAACATTATTAAGAATCCATCTTCTGAGGAAACAAAATTGATAGGTTATTAAGATTACCTTATGTTTTTTAAGAAATTGACCCAAGAAATACTTCTTTTTTTCTCTTAATTGCCTTATGTTCGCCGCCCAACTGGGTGTTTTATTTTTCTTTGTTGTAATAATTGTAATGYAACTCTCTTAAATAAACAGGACTTATATCAAATCAAAATACAGAAACCTAGGTGATATAGTAGTACTTGGTTGTGATTCAATTTAAAAATATAGTTTTTGAAATATTTTATGTCATATTATAGTATTCTAAATATTAAAAACACTTATAGAAAGTTTTCTTAATGGAAATTGTCTCTTGAGAGTGAAATTTGATTTTAAAAATCATTTTGCACTTTTAAATTAATATAAAGTGCAATATATGGAGATACAAGAAATTAAAAATATATATTTCAAACAAGATGCATAATTATTTTTAAGGATAATGAGAGTTACAACTTTTTATATTTTTTACTTTCTGTAATTCTTTTAACTATAGCATTTTATTTTGAAGATGGAAATATGTCATAAATCTTAGGCTTCCTACTTTAAAAATTAAAAACCTTTCTGAAATTTGACCCTTGAATATGCCAGATTGTGTGACAATGGTTTAAAAATGACTCCTTAAATGAAATTCTATCCATCATGTGTTTATTGGTGATACAGGAATTTCTGGATAATGATTAGCAACTCACTCTCAAATTAACAAATTGTTCAGGACAATAAATGTACCTAAAATCTCACAAAAGTGTTACCTTTTTTCTTAAAAATTTTAATCTATCTTTTGATAGCAATAAGGCTTTTAAAATGTAACATATTTTGGTTTGGTTGTCAGTTCTGTAAGAGTTTTTGTTGTAAATCCCATGTGTTTCTATCTTTAATGCTGTTGCTATGTTCCTAACACTTAGTATTTTGACAAGTCTATTGTTATCTTGTCAAAATTGACAGTTTTTATCTCCTGCAAGCTGGTTTTGTTGATGATCTTTAGTATCCGAGTCTAGTCACTTCAATTCTACATCCTGTAAAATTTTCAAGATCTTTTGAAACTATATTTATAGTGAAGTGAATTTGGATAACCATATCTTTGCTGGACATTTCCTTTGAGGAATTTGATTCTAATCTGGTATGTTACAATTCATGTACTTATTCTTTCAGATAAGATAACACATTTGTGACACAATTTATAGTCAACAGTCCAAAGTACTCTCTCTTGTTAGTCTAAATACATTGATTTTAGTAGTGCTACAAATGTAAGACAGATTACCAATTCTTAGCTATGATTTCTGATAGCAATTTAGTGAGTATCTAGTGTGCTTTTGAAGAGGAGTTTAGTAATTAACACAATTAACAACTACCAAATAATCATTTTTACAACCAAGCTTTCAAGTTTTTGTTGTTATCTACAACAGATTATTACCTTTTTGGGAACTTTATAGAGGTTTCTCTTTTAGTGAAGCTTATTTTTGATATATCTAGTAGTTTGATTGTCAATATATATATATACACACACAGAAATAGTAATATCATGTTGTACATATAGTTTAATATGTAGCTTGGTAGTTTGTGTCTCTGTGATAAAACCTTGGGTTTATCGCATAGGGTAATTGAGAGCTTCATGATCGAAAAGTCTTCAGTAGAACACGTACAACCAATACCACAAAAATCACTGTAGTTATTTATTTTCTGAGCATCTGTATTAAAGTTTTAGGGCTGTTGCTATTGTGAACTTTGTCTTTTCAAACTTCTACTGGATTTGCTTCTCTGTTCTGGTAAACTTTTGAGAGGGAGAGTAATATATGCTAACAATACACCATTACTCATGTGATGAAATTCAGTGAATTTACATGCTTGTATATTCTATATAATAAAATAATGATACGTAAATTCATTTGTCTCACTCATTGAGGGTCATTGGTAAAGGGACGATGACATCTTGACTTCAAACTGCTAGTCTTTATCAGGTGATGGTGTAGACTAGCATAGATGGCGTGTCTGTTATATAGAAGACTAGCATTTTGTAGTTGAAACATCACAATCCATTTACGAATGACCCTCAATAAGTGAGACAAATGAATAGATATAGCTTATGATTACAATTCCATGATGAATAATATTTTTCATTCTATAGATCTATATTCAACTTATTTCTAACTAAAGTTTTGACAAATGAAGGCTTAAGACACAAGTGCTTTCTAAAAAAAAGCTTTCCTTTTTTATTGAATTATTTATTGTTTTATAAGACAACAACACAACAAAACATGTAATGAATTTTTCTTACGTATTACAATCTATATTTCTTATATTCATAGTATGGAAATTGGACAGCACAGAATCCTCGCAGACCATTAGGTAAGAGAAAGCTAGGGTTAATTAAAGAAGAGAATGGTTTTTTATCAATACTCTCCTCTTACCTCTGGGGACTCGGCATCACATTTGCATGGGTGGGCCTAGCAGTGAAAGCACTCGCCTCTCACCAATACAACCCGGGTTCGAGTCCCGACGAGCTAGGTGTTGTATGTGAGTTGAGTTGTTTGTTGGTTCTCTCCTGTGCTTCAAGGGTTTTCCAGGTTCTCCGCTTTCCTCACTTTGCAAAAAACAACTTCTAAATTCCAATTGGAATCCAGTGGAAGAAGAGCCACTCTGTGGGATCCACTGTTAATCCCATTATTATTATTTATTATTATCATTACATTTGATCAGAATATGTTGAATCTCTTCCTTGATTCTAGAGCAGTTATTTCCAGTTTGTTTTTATTTCTTTCCACTACTAAACCCAACATGCCTCAGCGTATATTCTAATTGTATTTGATATTATAATTATATACTTTCAGGTCCAACATTGCGCACATCTTCTGTCACTAGACCACCCCCAAGTATTGATACTACAAACCCTGCTAGCCGCAAGTCAAGTCTGGATAGTTTGGTTGATTCTGATTTTTCTGATACCTCTTTCTACGATTTTCCATCATGGTTTGCAAAGGTGTGTTTGCTATTGGTTTTAGCCATTTTTCCTTCCTTCTTGCCATCATTCCTCTTATGCTACTTTCTTCCTTCCTTGCTTCCTTCCTTCCTTGTATCCTTCCTTGCTTCCTTGCTTCCTTC